CCCTACAGGCATACTTGCATTGCTAACAGAATTACATTTGTCATTATTATCTTACAGCTTTCCAAATCTTTAACTCCATGGGATGTCCTGCTCAGTTTAATAGCAGCTGCCACACATGATTTGGATCACCCAGGCGTTAACCAACCTTTCCTAATTAAAACAAACCATTACTTAGCAACTTTATATAAGGTAAGGACCAAATTGGTTGCTGTGTTAAAGCCGGGTTTGAAGAATTCCTGAGGAGTACAGTTTAGCTAGTGGTAGGTTTTAATCCAGACATCATTTCCATGTCATTGGGATAAAAAAAACAATGTGCAAGCTAACAAAGTGTTAGGGATTTCTGAGATATTTGTGAAAGAAAGAAAAACACCACCCCCAAACCCCAATGAAACTATCTGGTACTGCTCTTAAGTTTAAGAAAAAGTCATTGATTAATACCTCTAATATCCTTTTCATTTGCAGAATACCTCAGTATTAGAGAACCATCACTGGAGATCAGCAGTGGGGTTGCTGAGAGAGTCTGGTTTATTTGCACACATGTCATTAGAAAACAGGTATGTTTAAACAAAGTAGTATAGATTAATTTAAGATGTAAGTAAGCTGTCACTTAAGTAAGACAGCCTTGCAAAACAAGCTAAGTTACTGCAGTTCTGAATACAAGATGTAGATTATGATCTATTTTAAGAATTCCTGGATACCACGCTGTTGGATACCATGGGATACCATGCTGTTGGAGTAGAGCAGTTCGTGGTGCAATGTGATCTTTGGAAAATAACATTTACTGTAAGCACACTGGAGATGTGTATTCATACAGTCGAGCACCTGTTTGGATTAAACTTGGCAGCCTTTTCTCATTCTGCCACCACAACTTTAGTTTAAAATAGACCCTCGTCTCACCTACTTGAACAAGAAATAAGCTTTAAACAATTGAATTTACTTGTGCATTTTTAAGGCAAAAAGGGGGGGGGGTGGAGGGGGTAAAAACTGGTTTAGTCTTTCTGAATGCTGCTAATGAAACATCCTGCGATTTCTATGGATGTTGTAGGAATTTTTCAGAGAGGGAAAACAACTACAAAAAGAAAGTTCAGTAAAAAGGCTGATTACAGTACAAATACAAATGTGTGTATTTGTATAATAACAAAGAATATGATAAAAAGACAAGTAAAACTAGTGATGGCTGTTCTTAATTGTTATGCTTTTTAAATGTTTGGTATCACTAATTGCAGGCAGCTGATGGAAAGTCAGATAGGTGATCTCATTCTTGCCACAGACATCAGTCAGCAAAATGAGTATCTGTCCATGTTCCGATCCCATCTGGATAGAGGAGACCTATGTTTAGAGAATCCAAACCATCGTCACTTCATTTTACAGGTGATCTTTTTGGTAATATTTTTGAAAACAGCATTTTTGTGTCAAAAATCATTTAATTAAAATGCTAAGTATTGCTTCTGCCAGCTGTCTCCTCCTCCTCTCAAAATGAAGTAGAAAAACCTTTTAGTCATTTTGTTGCATTACAGAACGGTTGTTCTGTCCCCTTCATAAAAGAAAGTGGACAAACAAATGAGAAGTTCTGTGCTATGCAAGCCATTACTAAAAACGTGAACCTTGGAGCCAGAAATAGAAAATACAGTTTGCTTACTTTGTGTCTCTTTCTGAATTTCTTGTCTTCTGTACTAGTGAGTATACTAAATATAGTGCCCCCAAAATACTTTGACTTGTCTGAATTTCCATATTACTCAGAGATGATCATGAGATCTGATAGTTCCCTGAGCGTTTTTTAAACATGATTACAGAACATAACTTCGCAGAGAAGCACAAATGGTAGGTAGGTTTGTTATTCACAAAACTTAAAATAATCTGCTGTCAGGACATAAATAATTACAGATGCTTCTGTTGGAGGGAATGGTGATCTAATGCTGTATGTTAACATACTAGATGGCTTTGAAGTGTGCTGATATTTGTAATCCATGTCGGACGTGGGAGCTGAGTAAGCAGTGGAGTGAAAAAGTGACAGAGGAGTTCTTCCACCAAGGCAAGTAAGAGTAGAAGTATCTGTTGGTACATAAGGTATTTATACTGTGGAGAGAGCAACTGTGAGTCATAGCTGCTTGCAAAAAAAGAGATTTATATTTAGGACTAGTAGAGATTTACAGTGTGGGATTTTTCTTTTACTTCCATGAGTTGTACATCTTGCAAAAGGTCAGTGTTACTAAAATCCAGCAAAGAGTCTGCTTAGAATCTGAAACTAGAATGGGTGATGCAAGAGGCCCCTCAGCCTGAAAGGTGCTTCAGGTGAATAATTACGCTCACTTCAAACTTACCCAGTGGTTTCAGTAAATTACAAAGTTATATTCATCATGTGTCTTCAATATTTAAACTTGAGCTGCGAGGTCTGTTGGTAAGCAGGTAGGAGCTAGAGAGGAGATGTTTAGTTACTGTGCAGTTAAGGCTACTTCCTCATGTAAGCAGTTAATAAAGCTTTTAATTGACAAATGTAGTGAATTTTCTCCATGATTATTCATTTTTTTGATAATACCCTGTGCTTCTCCTTTCCTGAGGCTAGTTTAGCTGACTTGAGACTTGCTAATTTGTGCATGAATGTGACAAATGGGGAACAGACTGCATTTTTTGGTGCTAATCATGGGAAGCTTATTCTTAGGTAAAGGTGATGGGGAAGCAGAATAACAAATTGGCTTTAGGAGGAAGTTTCTGAAGACTAAGCTGTTCCATACTGCTAAGGGAGGATTTTAATTTGTCATTTCTGTGACAGTCTAGGAGGTTTTGGAAGGAAGTTTGTTAACCCTTCAGGGAACCTGTTATTTGATGTTTTTTGTTTGATGACAAATACAAAGTACTGTTAGCCTGACTGAGAGCCCTACTTGTTTTTTTTGGGGAGGTGGGTGAGAGAAATAAATGCATTCAACCAGCTGCAAGATACCATCCTTGTTAACCAACTTGCAGAACTCATCTCTGTTAGTGTTTGGCTCTGTTTGGGTCTGGATGCGATGACTTAATGGTTTGTATGATATTTCTGTTTCCTTAGGAGATATTGAAAAAAAGTATCACTTGGGTGTGAGTCCACTTTGTGATCGACAGACGGAAACTATCGCCAACATCCAGATTGGTAACTGCAGTTTGATGTGTTTTAGTAGATTTCTTTCAGGATGCAATCAATTTCAGTAAAGTACCTCTTAGAGACATTCCCTAGAGGCTGTACCTGCTAGTGGGTCTGTGGCAGCAGTTGTTACAAAGAGCAGTTTTTTTCTAGTTTGCTGTGTAACGTTTCTCCCTTGAATGGAGTGTGTATGAAAAGGGCTGCACTGCCAGGCCTGGAGCCTGAGCTTGATTTGGATATAAAATAGTAAAATGACTTCTTACAGTTATTTTTCATAAAGTTGCTTATGTAAATTGAATAAAACTCACTTAAAAACATAAAGAATAAACGTAGCCACAAACATGGTGCAAATTAGTGCTTTAAATTAGAGACAAAACTTGACCTGTTCAATCAGCTGCAACTGTTTTAATTTAAGGGTGTTAGGAAATTGGACAGTTCTGTAGTTGACAGATTCAATTTTGGTTGTCTTACCATTGAATTTTTGGTTCATGGCAATAGACACTATGAATACATACAGAAATGTGTCTATAAATGTTTGTGTGTTAATGTTTTGTGGCCTTTTTGTATAAAAAATTTCTATAATTTGTATTTTTTAGTCAGCCTAATACTGTGAAAAGGATTTTTTTTTTTTTTTTTTTTTGCTCTGATACAGTTCAGACTGTGGGGCAATTTGTTATAACATCTTTCTTCTAGAAATTTAGGTTTTCTAAATCAGTGTGATTTAGTTGCTGATGATTAGATTTGCCTCTCTCTGTGTTCTCCAGTATTTTCCTTTATCTGGTCATTGTTGTGAGAGAAAGGAGGCTGACTTGTAATCCGTTGTGGTTCTGGGCAACCTGATCTAGGTCAAGATGTCCCTGCTCACTGCAGGGGGGTTGGACTAAATGACCTTTGAAGGTCCCTTCCAACCCAAACTAGTCTATGATAATATGACTGACTAGTAAAATCTTACACTTTTTGAGAGATTATTTTGTAAAGATAACTTTTAAATGCATGGTGGAGAAGAGTGGTCTGACACACTGAGAATTATTTGCTACTAAATATTATTTAAAATATTAGGTTTGAGTATTTTCTTCTTTTTTTCTCTGTTTTATTTGTTTGGTTTGTTTTCACCTGGCTCCGTTTTCTTGATTTCAAAGGGTTTATGACCTACTTAGTGGAACCACTGTTTGGGGAATGGGCCCGGTTTTCCAACACGAGGCTGTCGCAGACGATGCTTGGCCACCTGGGACTGAACAAGGCTAGCTGGAAGGGGGTGCAGAGGGAACAGACTGGCAGCGGTGACGATGTTGACCCCGCTTTTGAGGAAATGGACTCAGACATATTACCTCAGGAACCTCGACTGTCCTGACCTCAATCTTCATGACAAAACTGCCTCTTTCTTCTCTTGGTATCTGCGCGGTTGGATTAAAGGAGATACTTGCCAGCCCAAGGCTTTGGTAAGATGATAAACCGATGCCAGCATTATTTATTTCCAAGTTTTCCTTTGACACAGACCATTTGAACCAGAATTTTTTTAACCTGCAAGATCTGAACACAGAGCAATATGCATACGCCTCAGTTGGGTTTTGTTCGGAACCTTGAATATGCAAAGCACAGCAGTGACTGAGCCTCGGAGGAACAGTACGAAAACTTCGTTGTGCCACATGGCTTTGGGGTTGTTTGTTTCATTTTTGTGATACTTGGAATACGCTCTTCAAATCTAAGACTTGAGATGGATTGTTCCACTTTCTTGGACTTTAGCAAGACCTGGATAAATGTGTTCAAAGCATACCTTCCACTCGGTCCCTGTTTTAATACGGAAATGTGAAGTGCCCATCCTCTGCTGCCTCTGGCAAGACTTGATGTTTACAAATGTACTCTGAAACTATCGGTTCTAGACTTAACCTTTGCGCATGGCTGTGAAGGAACCACTTGACTTGGAGGTTTGTTTTTTTGGTTTTTTTTTTTTGCTTTTCTAAAGGAAAAAGATCAAAGCAGAGACTGCAGCTCTTGTTTCTTTGGATGCCAGAAAAGCCTCCCATTTGCCATGATTTTGTTTGTGCACTGGGAACTGAGCATTCATCATAGAGCACAGCCAAGCTTTCCTCCAGTGCTATATGGGAATGCAAGTTTTTTTTAACAGCGGAAAACACTTCTGAATCTGGGAAGGGAAGGG